GCCGATTGCAGAGAATCATGTTGCGAGATCATGAGCTCAAGCACGCGATGTTCGTAATATTCTATACGGACAGTTACATTGCAGACTACACATTAATGGCGCGCTTTCTATCAGCTGGAGGAGGAAAGACTCTTTACCATTTTTAAAATTTCAACCTTTTTTTGCTTCATCTCAGCGCGATTTATGTTTAATTCTAGATTTTTTAGGAATCATATATGTATTTAGGGCCCCAAACAGTAATTATTATTTTGCGCCTTAAATAATGACCCCTCAATTCTAGAACTGAGTTGTTTGGGGAAAATACGCCTCTTTTGCTTCCTCTAAGTTATGCGTATCAAAGTTCATTTCAAGTGAGTGATATGTAGCATTTAATTGGTTTTTTCAAGTTGTTTTTTTGGCTTAATTTTTCACATTATCATATGTGTACAAATGCACTGATTCATTGACGGACTCTTACTTCGGTAGATCAAATAGACCAAGACAGCATAGTACGCAATTGGTACTTATTTATACTTCTAGTTGAAGAACTAAGCATCAACTTTACTGACAAATGATATTTATAAAAGATCGCTTTTCTTAAAATGGCATTCCATTTTTGCGTACAAATAACTTCAAGAAAGATTTAGCGACATTCTTCTAACTTTATGGGAAAATTTTTTTGAGAAGAAATGGGTAACTCATGAACGTAATGAACGGGAAGGTGAAAAGATTCATAGAGAGCAATAATAAGGTTAAGAATAAGGAGGTGGAACTTTAAATGTGCCTCAAGTTGAAGGAAGGTGAACGTGCCCGGACACGCCAAGCCATATTAACTAATTTTTTCATATCGTTAGGATACATACTGTAACGCTTACTTTTACTAAGTGCAGCGGGAAGTGCTCCCCTTTTGCTCAATCACAAGTTTAGTGATTGGCCGGGATGTTTTGCGTCAAACTTACTGGGAAATCTCATGCTAAGTTTGCGGTAAGCCTATGCCATGCTTAGAGCTGCCACGAGCGTGGCTCGTTTTGTTGTGACGAATTTTAGGGGGATTACTACCACCTTAGATGTTGCCGTAGAACTGGAATAATCAACGAGAAAAAATAACATTTGTTATCTTTCTTTATAGAGCCTAAACAAGCAGCAATGCCTAATCCATGCCTACTAGAATTATTATTTTAGAATACAACATAAACAATAAATGTTCCTGTAATTTACTATATGTACCATTCATCCAGTCAAACGGGTAAGAAGTGTAAATATTTTCAGCTAAGATGGCAATGATTCTATTATGCAGTTCACGAAAGAGAAGACGTTCTTCTCGTAATTTTCAGTGAACTTATTTTTCTATATAATTGAGATTTCTATACAATTATTAGTTTAGATTCTTTTTAGTCTTTTTGACTTCTTCATGTTGAAAACTGCATAAGCACTTTAGAAATGCTTGCTGGCACCAGCCTCCTGTGATGGTTTACCGCTTCATCGTGGCGCGGAAGTTAATCTGGGTGTCGAACTGCGAAGTACGGCAGAGGTTTGTCCTCCAGCAGAATCTCCCAAGCTAAGAAGGAGTTCGACGTTTCCGGCTTTGCAGATGCCCAGCTAAGAGTAGGCGCTGCCAGAAGTGCCACCGCATGGCTGAGTTGGTTGCTATGTGGTTCGCTGATCCACATAGGTTAGCGATTGCCTGTGTTGAAAGCTTGGCAGGCCCTGGTAGGGCTACTAAGTTTGGGGATTAATTTTATTGCCTTAGCATGTGATGAGAAAAGAAGCCCTGCACACTGGATCACTTCAGCGTCGGAGTTATCAAGACCAGTATCAGGTTGCAGTTGCCATGGCCAAAATAACACGTGAACAATTCGCCGTGGAACGTCTCATGTTCTGCACCTTCAACGCCAGGACAGCCTTCACCAACGTCGAACTTCACACCCTTCTCGAGGCTGCCGAACGCACCTACCAGTAATCGCCTCGCAGAAAACAAAGTTCAAGAAGACGGACGTAAGACAGCTGAAGACACTCATCATTTGTGGTGACAATTCCATCACAAAACGTTAGAGGGTTGAATTTGCTGTTCACTCAGCTGTCGTCCATCTTGTCGAGTCTATAGTCCTACACCTCGCCTAGCTATCCTTCGACTCCGTCCTCTGCAGATACATCGCTATCATCAACTACTATTCTCCACCATCAGCAGCTAATAAGTCACAACTAGATGCCTGTTATGAGGATTTGGAGTCATCCGCAAAGAGAAATCCTTCCAAAAATTTGTCGTGGGTGACTTCAATGCAAAAATCGGGATGCAAGAGAAGGAGCATAGGATCGCGAGATTTGGATCAGGAGTCCAGAATGAGCATGGCAACTGTCTTTTAGGCTTTTATCCGCCGTACGATTTATTCATGGCAACTCCATGTGAACAGCGACGGTGAACGTGGGAGCCATCCAACGATCAACTTATGTGGAATCGGCGGCACGGCATTCTTAACCAGGTGGTGCTTAACTTGACGTTCCAGTGGTACCATTCTTCAGCAGTGGTTCAGATGACCGTCTCCCTCGTGCAAAAGTGCGGTTCAGCCGAACGCTGGAAAAGAAGATCTGTCACCGTGTCGGATCTTGGAAAAATTTTGGTTTTACAAACTAGACGAATTACACTACATGTATACTCAAATTTTAAGTCTTCATTCACGGAAAACCCTACCGAGAAGACTGCGACACAATCCTTCTTGCGCAAAAGTTGCGGTACTAATTTACAAGCTAGCGAAAGGCCGGGCTCAACATGACCGAAATGGCTGCTGTTTCGATTTTCAAATTCAAGGAATACTTGTGCTTATACTCTGGTTATACCAGAAAAGCAGTTGTCAAATTTCATTTCTGCCATTTTTGTTGTTTGTTATGTGATTATCATTACTTATAATAAAGCGCTAAGTTTGTCTGGGTGTGTGTTTCTCTACCTCACGAAATTTTTCATATGTCCTAAGAAAGTCAAAGGGCAATTATCAATCGCTATCATGTTAACTGCAGAACACTAAGTAAACATGGGCAATTTTGTTGTGAAGAACGTGGTAAATTGTTGTTCATTTCGTGTTGCTATGGGGAGGCATAGCAGCGGAGTCAAATGGCTTCTGTGCCTTTTTTCTTCAGGATGGTATTAAAAGGTGAGATACTTTCAAACCTTTCGCAGACAAGCGGAATGATTTTGACATTTTAGAAACCAAATATTCAGTTCTTTGGTACACGGACAGTGCGAACCTCTCCTAAGGAAAGGTGCAGTGGTATATATTATATTCAATGAATCATTGTCTTATCTTCAAAGATTTAGATACAATTGCTCACATTTACTCATTCTTATGATTTTAAAATAACTGCCTATGTTAAATGTTAGCATAATCGTGTTTGTATAAGAGCGAGGTTGGCAAAATTTTAGGGAGGGGTTGCATCGAAGGATACCAAATTTGGGTAACTCTGGCTACAGATATGGATTTGGAATTGACTTCGCATAGACCTCTACTATAAGAGTAGATGAATGAACAAGAAGATACAATCGCGAGCTTTGAGAGATTAGGTCCACAGTTGAGACGACAATTGGAAAATGGAAAAGGAGATTTTCCATTAAATGACAACAGGGTAACCTCAGAAAGGCTGAGAAAATTTGTTGGTTGTGCCTTATTGCACAACATTTCATTGTTTTAAAATGCAACAAAATCCGCATTATAGGGAGAAGGAAAGCCATGGTGCACACCCGCCGTTGGGTTCAGACATACGCAGTT